TCAAGAAATGATAGGCCAGACCACTCTTGGTGATATGTCTGTAGCTATGGTTTTTTTTATTTTTTGATTTTTCTAGTGAATTTGTGGTCCCTAAAGATAATGGTCAAAATTAACTTATGGAGGGACTGATGGGACTTGGCCATCCGGGCCATTCCGTGAAGAGGAAGGGACCTGCTCGACGCATCCTCCACAGAGAACATCCCCCCGGGACCAAACCTGCAGCATCTGACTCGCTGGCTTTTGCACCTTCCTCGGGGATCTATCTGCCTCCCATCATGGCTGTGGCTCTGGGACTGAGACCCTTCTTTCCACCAATCCTGAGTGCATGGAAAGCACATTGTAAACATGCTCAAGTAGAAATGGAAACAACTTGAGAGTTTGTGTACTGCCTTTCTAGGTGATTAATTTCAACAAGCGATACAAGCCACAACCTAAAGGGACTGAATCTTTGAGGAATTTTTGCTTCTACTGGGGATGCGTGCTGTGTGTACGACCGTACGTGTCTATGAATTTTTTGGCCGGATTACCAGTTCCTTCTCAAAATCTCAAAAATACATTTAAAGTCCCGCTCAATTGGGCACCGAGCTGTTTGAACAGTTCCTTCTGGCATTACGTCCCTATGCCTTGCAGCTAAATGCCTTCTCAAGTTAATCTCCTTCAGGCACAGCTTTGTTCTAGCTGCACACTACTAACCCCTTGCCTGGCACCCCCTCCCGCATCCTCATCTTGGCTCAAAATCCTGTGATATCTCTTCCTTGTCTAAATTATTTGACTGGCATAAGTGCTCTTGAAAGATTGGTCCAAATGAACATTAGAGGCTTTGAAACACCCACTCTTCTAACTTATGCCACATTCCGGCTGAACTAGGGAGGCAGTGGGAAGACGAGAGCCGTCCAAGGACTGAGCCTGGGTGTGGCAATGCGCAGAGGTTTGCAAGATGAAGGGAATTCAGCAAAGGCAATAGGACATGCCTAGTGAAGTAGAAGGAGAGCCCAGAGAGGGCGGTCATGGAGGCCAAGGAAACAGCGTTTCCTGGATGGTGGTCAGAGGCTGCCGATGGGTGGAGTGGAATGAAGGCTGAGTGTTGCCCGTTGGCTTGAGCAGTATGAGTTCATTGGTGATCTCACTGGTGATGTCCCTGATGGTCTCAGTGGTGATCTAGCGGAGTGGTGGGGGAAGCCTAATGGGACTGGGTTCAAAAGAATGCAGAATGAGAGCCTACAAAGATAGTCATGGGTAACTGTTTGAGACATTACTGTTGGGGGCAGCAGATGAACCAAATGTGTGATCATGGGTGGATCCTAGTGTTCGGACCAATGAGTGGGGACTGAATTCAGAAGCAGACACTGCATGGCAGGATCCAGGATCCAATCAGATTGAGCCCTGGCATCACCCCATTGCAAGATCGAATCAGACCATGCCTCATTACCCTCTGACTATACAACCTGCCCCAACCCCCAGCTCTGGGAGACAGATCTGAGTTTCACTCCTGCCTCCTTGTGTGGCCACCTGACAATGAACCTGGTGCTTTGGTGAATGGCTTTCCATTGCGTGTGGGCAAATGAACGTATTAATGGTTCATTTCAGTTACAAAGGCTTGGTCTATGCTTCCAAGATGGTGCCTTGTCACTGCATCCTCTGCAGGGGACAAAAGCTGTGCCTTCACATGGCAGAAGGGATGGAAAGAAATATAAGGGCTGAGCTAGTTCCCTCTATCCCTTTTATAAGGTACTAATCCATTCATGAGGTGGAGCTCTTGGGACTCAATCACTTTCCCAAAGGCCCCATCTCTTAAAACAACCGCAAGAGGGATTAAGTTTCAATATGAGTTTTGGAGGGAACACATTCAAACCATAGCAGTAGGATTTTAATTTTTGTTTTACAAAGTAAATCTCTTTGTCTCTCCTCTTTTATCTCTATAGAATACAAATCTGAAAGGAAATACACCAAATTTAACAGTGGTTATTTCTTCTTTTTTCCTTCTTTGTGTTTTATTTTTGAGACAAAGTCGCACTCTGTTGCCTGGACTAGAGTGCCGTGGCGTCGGCCTAGCTCACAGCAACCTCAAACTCCTGGGCTCAAGCCATCCTTCTGCCTCAGCCTCCGGAGTAGCTGGGACTACAGGCACGCACCACCACGCCCAGCTAATTTTTTCTATTTTTAGTAGAGACAGGGTCTTGCTCTTGCTCTGGCTCGTCTTGAACACTGAGCTCAAGTGATCCTCCTGTCTCAGCCACCCAGAGCGCTAGGATTACAGGTGTGAGCTGGCCAACAGTGGTTATTTCTTGATGGTAGAATTAGAGTGAGGTTTTAGAACACTTTTCTGTATTTTCCAAATCCTCAATGAATATATAATATTTTGTAATTAAAAATTTTCTGAAAATATTCTTTAGAAATATATTGGGGAGGGTCCTTTAATTTGGAATAAAAATATCCTGTTTTCAAAAGTAAAGGGAGTTTCTAAAGAACCTAAGTCCTCAAACTAAAAGTTTCACCATGACAAGATGAATTCCTAGACACCGCAGAAGGAATTACTGGAGATGTTGATTATTTAAGACATTAATAAGACCAGGTTTCAATTAATGCCTGGGAAGGCATTGCATAAGCTGACTTTGAAGTTGGCCTTTCGTCTGCTCCTTTTATTTTTTTAAACTTGTAGCCTGATCTCTCGTAGTTTCTAGAAAGTATTTTGGTTTATGGACTTTCATCATTTTATTTTATTATGATGTCCCTAATTTGCTCTTCTCCCTTGCTGTGGACTTGATGGTGGCCTTTACTGCATTCTCTCTGCATCTTCCATTAATATTTAATTATAGAATAATCTGAGAAGTGAAACTCCTAAATCAAGTTGACCAAATGCCACGGTACTGTATTGTGAATAAATGTACACACACCAAATCACATGCACCAACTCGGAGCCGACCTAATCTGAAACACTGTGCACCCGGCTTCTTCCTAGGACAGCCGATTTTGCATCTAAAAGCCCCTTTATGATCTGACCAGGGAACTTCTCTTCGCGGTGGAACATCTTGAGCTCCAGAGTACTCTGGGTCCTCCCTGGGGTTGGCCTGACTGTTGGTGGACCTAACTGGAGTCAGGAGTTTGAAAGAGAGCAAAGATGGGGTTGAGAAGTCAAGACTCCAAAATGCAAGTTATTCCTCTGAGACAAATGGGAGACCAGATAAACATTGCTTAACTTCCCATTGTTGTGTCCTGAGTGGGTCGTCCAGGGGTGGGGGTTCAGGGGGAATCAGCTTAAGTCTTGGTGCCTTGATTCCACGCTTATCTCTGTCTCTTAGTAGCTACCTGAGCCTGCTTTGGCCTTGCCGCCTCTGAGCCTCAGGCTCTCGTCTGTACAATGGCCATGGTGGCCCCCCTTACAGATTGTCTTGAGGGCAGCTAAGATAGCCAATGTGAAGTGTCCAGCCCACTGAAAACCTCCCTCTTAGGTGATTTGGGGGTTGGTGTGAGAATCTGGAGGGAAGAATATGAGATGGCAGAAGCCTAGGAGAGCATCCACTGCCCATCTCAGCAAGGTCAGGAGGGAAGGCAAAGAACCCCAACCGTTTTTAAGTTAACCTCCCCTCCTCCTCTAATCACACGCACTTCAACGTGGGCCACACAGTAAGGGAACTTTCTCCTGCTTTAATATTTGTCCTCACTGTTGTGGCAAGAACACTGACATTTCTTCAGCTTTAAAATTCACTTTTAGTAATCCCATCTCTTTCCCACCAGCGATAAAACCCTTGCAGCAGACAGCTCTGGGTGCTTTTCATAGGATCAATCACGTCGGTGGCACAGGGGCTTTCTTTGGAGTCTTTCCAGAAGGACGACTCTTTTTTTTCCTTCAGACCACTGGTCTCACATCCAGGTCTCCTGTCACCTCCTCAGGGGGCAGCCTTCCTTGACCACTCAGCTGAATTAATGTAGCTTCCCTGTGCCTATCCCAGCAACCCAACCGTCTCCTTCTTACCATTCATTTTACTTCGTCATAATTTGTTTACTTGTTTTTTATGTGTTATCCTACCGGAGACTGTAAGCTCCAGGAGCAAGATGATCTGTCTGTGCCCAGCTGGGTCCCCAGGCTCCTCCTGTAGGCCCTGTGGCATGGAGTAAATACCGATAAATATTTGTGGCACGAATGCGCGGGTGGATGGAGCTCTCCTTACGTCCAATCACCTGAGCCGGCCCACAGCCCGCGCGTGGAAGGTGCACAACAGGTCCTGGGAAGGACTTTCGCTGATTTGGCTGCCCAGGAATGGTTCTTAACCCTTTTACGGTCACGGGTCTCTTTAGGTATTCGATAAAACCAATGGACTCTCTTTCCCAAACGAAATAAATATGCACTCAAAACTCCGCTTACAGTTTAGGGGTTTGGAGACTCCTAACATCCTAGGTAAAAACCCTAGACTTAAGAAAAATCAAGGGGAGGAGAAATTGGAGAACGAATCTTGCCACAAAGTCTTAGAAGAGACCTCTCCAAAGGGGGCTTGCTTAAAATTATCTTTGCCTTGGACTGCAGAGGTTTTTAAAAAATTTTTTTTAAGTGAGATGGGTGGGGGGAGGTGGGGGGTAAGAAATCAGTTCTAGCTCTGCTAACAGCTCAAGCTCAAGTGTATGGGGAAATATCGTTGCCAGGTCTGATAAACGTTTGTCGAATGAATGAAAGACACATTCGCGCGGCACAGTCAGGAAAGCAGAGCTCGCACAGCTCCCGGCGCAGGAGTTTCCGAGTGGGCAGCCCGCCCGCTCCTGGCCCACCTGCGCCGGGCTGCAGACAGGCCGCGTGACACACAGGTGCATTCGCACCAGGGGCGCCGGAGCTGGGCCGGGGGCGCGGCGGCCACGGGAGGGGCAGGAGGAGAGGAGAGAGGAGAGGAGGAGGGGGGAAGACGCGAGAGGAAGAAAGCGGAGGGCACAGCGGGGAGAGTGGGAATGGGAGGGGCGGGAGGGCGGAGGGAGCGGGCGGGGAGGAGTCTGCAAACTTTCAGTCCGAGGGCATTGTGGGAAGCAGCCATGGTCTGAGGCGGGCGCCTCACCTGTCAGCGCGCCGGCTCCTGCGCTCGGTTCTCGCCCTCGCGTCCTCCGCGCTCTCCGTCGCGCGGCTGGGGCGGCGGCGGCCGGGCCACCATGGTGAGTGCGGGGCAGCCGGGGCCGGCGCGATCGCGGAGGCACCTGCGGCGCCGGGCCCGGGCGCGCGGCCGGGCTGGGGTGCGGGCTGAGCCCCGCCAGGTCCCCGAACCCCGCCAGGTTCCGGAGCCGAGCGTGCGGGTGGCCCCGCCGCTCCGGACCCTGCGGGCCCGCGGCGGACGCCTGCCCGGAATTCCCGGCGCGCGGCTTCATTCATTCGATCCACTTTTGCCGAGCGCTTAGTCTGTGCCGGGCACGGGGCCCAAAGCGCTGGGGATGCCTCGGGGGACCAGGTGGAGCCCCCTGCGCTCGGGGAGCGTAGACTCTGGGAGGAGGATGCGGAGGGAGGGAAACGTGTAACGTGCGAGTAAAATGAAGATAACTTCCGAGAGTAAGCAGCGTTCTGACGTATCAGATACAACCGGCCAAGAGGCAACTTTTGATTCAGGGAAGGCATCTTTGAAGAGGTGATATTTTAGCCGCCGGAGGTCCTGGAGGGGCGCTACAGGTGGATCAGCGACAGCAAAGGGGAGAGAAGCCGCCCTTGTTTGTAGCTGGAGAGGTGGGTGGGCGCCAGATGAGGCAGGTCCTTATAGGCCAGAGTAAGGAGTTTAGTTTTTGTTTCAAATGAGTGGAGAAACCTTGGGAACGTTTTAGCAAGAAAACTGACCTTATCAATTCTGCACTTTTAAAAGATCCCTTTGGCTGTTGCTGGAGAATGGACTGGGTCGTGTATGTGGGAGGGTCAAGGTGGAAGCTGGGAGACCAGGTGCAGTGCTGCACTGGCCTGCTTTTGGGGGAAGTGCTCGGGCTCCTCTTGCTCTTGCCTGCTGTTTAGGGGCAGCATTTTGAGAGTGCAGCGGCGTGAACTGCACCAATCCCACTTCCCCAGGTGAACTTACTTCCCAAATCCGCAGAAGATAAGTGACCTGCGCTCTGTGGGCTCAAGTGGCCCACAGCAGGCAGGAGCGGATGGGACACGGGGTTAAGAACGATGATTGACAAGGAGAACTGTGGAGTGCTGAGCACCTGGACAGGAAGATCACCAATGCTGGTTCCTAGTAGAGGCTTGGCTGCATACACTAGAGGCGCCACTTTTGTTTGTTGAGAGTTCCTCGTAAATATGGCATGATGCAAAAAGGATGCTGTAAATAATGGAGCAGCTCTCTTGGCTTGCTCAAGTTTCCCAAGGAACAAGGTGACGGTGTGTCCAGCCCGCCGATGTCATTTGCCTAATGGAGGATGGAATAAGGCCATCCTTATATCATCCTGCGTTTCTGAGTGGTCAAAGCTGCTTTCATCCTGTGGGCTGGGGCAAGGTCTGTAAGGAATAGCGCTCTAGATAGCACCTGCTGTGGAGTTTTAGTTTTTCCTGCTGGTATTATATGATGAAGTGATCAGAAGTGTGGGAATTTCTCCAGCTTTTCTACCAGGCTTGCACAATGGAGAATATTAATGTTATTGAGCACTTGTGATAAGCCAAGCAGGATGTCCAACTCTTTACATTCATAATTTCATTCAATCCTTGCAACAACCAAATGAGGGTAGGTATTATGCTCCTTGCTTTTTACCTGCTCTGAGCTATGCTGGCAGGGCGTCCTGGGACAATTCCTTGACCTATGTCTCACTTTGCTCATTTGTGAAATGGAGATAATTGCTCGTAACTCATAAAGCAGCGGTTCTTAAAGTGTAGCCTAGGTACCCTTCAGAGTCCCGAAGACATTTTCTGGAGGTTTGCAAGGTCAAAACTATTTTCATAAATAACACTAAGACACCAATTTGACCTTTTCATTCTCATTCTCGCAATACTATCATGAAGTTTTCTTGTGCCTACATGAGCTGAGATAACACAAGAGATAGAATGCAGAAGCAGACAGGCGAGTCCAACTGTCTTCTAGGCCAGATTTTAAGGAGATTTGCAAAAATGTAAAACAATGCCACTTTTTTATATATGTTTATATATGCATACATATATATATTTGCTGCGGAAAATGTTACTGGTCGTAAAAATATTATTTATGTTAAGGTGTAATGTGTTTATTATTTTTAAATGAATTAATAAATATGTTTTTTCCCATTTTAATTTCTAATGCAGTTAATATCAATCGCTATAACCCACATAAACAAAAAGGTCTGTGGGGTGGCATTCTCAATTTTTAAAAGTGTAAAGGCATCCAGAATGTTTTATGATCACAGTCATGGAGTTGTGACAAGTACCATGAGTGACCGCATGTGAAAGTGATTTGAGCAGCTTTGCCCCTTGTAAGTGCTCTGTAACCATTACCTCTCGTCTGTTATCATGCCAAGTGGTAGGAAAGCGTAAGCAGCCCTCCTGTGTGCCCAGCGGCCCTGAGATCTTTCTTTTTTTTTTTTGAGACCGAGTCTCACTCTTTTGCCTGGGCTAGAGTGAGTGTAGCTCACAGCAACCTCAAACTCCTGGGCTCAAGCAATCCTTCTGCCTCAGCCTCCCGAGTAGCTGAGACTACAGGCATGTGCCACCATTCCCGGCTAATTTTTTCTATATATTTTTAGTTGTCCGATTAATTTCTTTCTATTTTTAGTAGAGACGGGGTCTCGCTCTTGTTCAGGCTGGTTTCGAACTCCTGAGCTCAAAGGATCCACCTGCCTCTGCCTCCCAGAGTGCTAGGATTATCCACCGCGCCGGCCTAAGGCTCTGAGATCTTTGTTGAGGATCAGTTTGTGACTATCTTTCCCCCTGCTCCGCTCCTGACTCTTGCTGATTCTTCCGTTAGCAAACTGGCAGGTACTTCCAGCCCCTAAGCCTCCAGCACTCTACACACAGAAGATGGCTCTTGATTCTGTTGTACTGGTTTCTAGCACAGAGATTTCATATCTGGTTCCTGTTGGGGCTGTGTTTGTGTCTGGATCATACTATTTGAGTCACCGGTGTACTTCTCTAGCTTGCCTTTGTTTTAGATGTCTCTCCCTTGGAAAATAATGCTAGGATTATTGTGCTTCAGGAATCCTGCAGGCTCTGAGCCCAGCGTGCTTAACAAATCTTACTGGGAAGAATTTACTGTTGAATGGTTGACAATGTTGATGGATGAAGGAGGATTTTGTTGATTCTTTATTTAATTTTCCTTTAAGAAGATACCTGTGAGGATTCATAGGGTGATGTTTGATAGATTTTTGGGACCTTTTTAAATAAAAATGCAAGTGGCCTTTGATTCATGTAGTCCACATGCTTCTGAAAAGTTGAAGTGACTTTTAAAACTATAATTGTGAACAAAATAGAATCGCCTATTGAAAGAAACTCAACTGGCAACTGCTTTGGAAATATGAATAATCACCTTTTTGAGTTGCAAATCCAGTTCTCATAGTGCATGTTATTTGTGTACAGTGAGATAGACTTACGCTAAAAAAATTGAGGATTTTTTCATGTGTCTGATTTTAAATCTGACTTGAGAGAGAGAGAGAATTTACCAAACTGAACTGTGAAGCCATTTGTCAGAATTCATTTTAGTTTCAAAAGGGATGAGTGCACCCTTCTGCTAAATCAGGTTAAAAAGTTTCCCACATTCATTGTAATCTATTGAGTTACACAGAAGTAGGAAAGGTGCAAAGGAGTTGAAGAGGGTGAGGGTGGAGAAACCGAACTATGAACCTGTAGATTCCGCCACACCCCCTCTCCCTCATATATCGATTTTATTGTCTGAGGCGTAAATGAATTGCAATAAGCATGTAGTAATTTTTGGCAGTTTAAGTTCCAGTTTGAGGGTAGTCTGTTCCATCATGACACTTGCCTCCTCTGAGGCTTGGTCTGGGCTCCTGGCCAGCTGTTAGTGTAGGGTACAGGGGCTTGGGAACAGGGGAGAAAAGTGATCCTTTGTGGTGTTCAGTTGTCCCAAGAGTGCTGGCCTACAACAGGCCTTTCCCACCAGTCTCCTACCACCACCAGTGAGACTCGTATTTACCCCTCACTTGTATTCTTGCTTCTGAGTTCCCATTACTCATTTTTTGGTGGTGAACACAGTCAACTGCTTACAGTTTTTGTATGGCATTTTACTAACAACAGCTGGAAGGAAATGACACAGCATGTATTTGCTGCATTGTGTTGTTAATGTCTGTTTTTTTGTGTCCCATGAATTCTTTCATTATGGGCTAAGACATAATAGATAAAACAATTACCCCTTCCTCCCTGACTCACACACAAATGAAGAAAACTCCTTTAATAATTCCCAGAGCTAAGTACTTCTTGATGTCTCCATGAATTGTTGCTTCAATTTTATTTTGCTATTCCTATAGCCAGAGGTTACTCTAGTGACCTGAGACTTCACTGTGATCTGGTTTCTTCCCTGGGGCTTGTTCTTGCCTCTCATAGAGTCTTCCTTTCCGGTATATCTTGTTCTTCCCTGACTCCTCTTCCTGACAAACTTCTCTGTTTTTCTGGAAGCATCCTAGCCATTTACTCAGGAAAACTCCCTTGAAACCATTTGAAGCCCCTAGATTCTGTGATATGAAAAGAATATACACAGATATCAGAGGCAAATGCCACTACAGTTCTCTCAGTGATACAGGAAACTCCCCAGCCAGCACCCTGACTAGCTAGAGAATGTATTTCTGGCGTAGCTGCTAATATTGAGAAAATTAAGAATTTTAACAATGGAAAGGAATTACTGCAAAATTGTTCAAGTTACAAATGGAATGTCATCAACTATCATTGGGAAGCTGGCCTTTGGCAAATCTCTGCCCAAATCCCAGGTCTAAAAACTTTCCGACAGGCATTGCTGGGCTCTGAAATTGCACGTTCTCAGTAGTTTCAGAAACTGCCTGGGGAAAATAACATGATTCCTCATTAGTCTTTCAGTGCGATGAGGCATAGACATAAAGTACATTCAGTCAAGAATAACGGCATTAGGGATTCTATATTTTAATGTCGGTGTTGAAGCTTCTCTAACAGGATTGCTGGGTTGGTAAGAAATGACTGGTATGGGTTGAAGTCCAGTGGACACTTACATGCTACCCCTTCCTTTCACACTGGG